ACGTTACCTGTTGAGGAAGATCATTTATGTAGATCAAGAAGAGAAGAGGCCCTAGTACTGAGCCCTGGGGGACCCCACTAGGACATTCCATAGCCTGAGATAAAGTGAAATTAACCCTAACCTTAAAGTGTCGATTTTTTAGGTATGAAGTAAGCCAATCGATTAGAGGTGGTTTGATACCTAGTCGTTTGAGCTTGTTGATAAGACACAAGTGGTTAACCTTATCAAAAGCTTTTGAGAAATCAAGGTAAATGACATCAACCTTTCCCTTGCGATCGAGGATGCTTGTCCATCTGTCCACCGCAGTCAGCAGGTTGGTTATACAAGAGTAACCCTTCCTGAAACCATGCTGTTGGGGTGAGAAGAAATTTAAGGACAGTAGATAGTCATTTAAACCGTCGCATATCAGGGACTCCATGAGTTTTGAAGGTAATGACAGAAGAGCCACCGGCCGATAACTTGAAGGTTCATTGCGTCGACCACCTTTGAAAATTGGTGTGATGTGAGCCAACTTCCAATTTTCCGGTAATTTGCCTCGGCTAAGCGAGTGTGAAAACATCACGCTAAGCGGCGTTGCCAGGATTGAGGCTGCCTCCCTCAGTATGGCAGGATGAACCATATCCGGGCCAGGAGAAGTGTCTAATCTTAAGTGCTGCAATTTCCGGAACACCAAGTCAGCGCTTAGGTCCACTTCAGAAAGTCCTGTGGAATTGCAGATGAAACTGTCGTCAGTAAAGTTGATGTCAGCCGGTTGAAATGTTTGAGAGTAATGTGCCGCCAGAAGGTTAGCGGCGTCGCCATCGTTGTTGGTCGGGCCGTTAAGACCTACCAGTTGAGAAACTCCTGTTTTGGCTTGACGAAGAGAGGCTGCATAACGGAATAGGCTTCTAGGGTTAGAGGCGAATTTGTCCATAAGCTTTGTTTGGTACTGAAGCCTGTCTTCTCTTATAGCCTTCGTGCATATGTTCCTGATATGTTTATATTGCCTATACGCTCCATCGTTATTAGTTCGTTTGTATTCCGCCCAACAGTGCCTTTTGCGGCTTAGCAGGCGAAGGGTACGGTTCTTGATTACTGTAGGTGGCTTGCAGCTTTTGGGAACCGTTTGAGGAACTGAATGGTTTGTAGCACATAAGAGCGTGTGCAGTAAGAAGTCCCAATGACCATCCACATCGAGTTGAGGGTGAACATCCCAAACCACCTGTTGTAGATAGTCATGTAGAGCTGGCACATTCAGCCGTTTAAAATTCCAACGCAAATTATTGTTGGGATACCTTAGCTTAGTTTTGATGACAAAACTGAAGGCTATGACGGCATGATCGCTCTTTCCCAGAGGAGCCAGGATTGAGAGGTTGTCGACTAGGAATTCTTCGTTAGTGAATACACAGTCTAAGCGCGATGGTGTCTGACTGTTTCTCCAACGAGTTGCCGACCTCACATTTTCATATAAGCCCAAGTCATCGATGAGGTTGAAGAACCGAGCTTCAATTGAGTTGTCGCCTCCAGTGTACGTGTGTTCCGCGAAGTTGACTCTAGGGAGATTAAAGTCCCCTAGAATCAGGATGTGTGTGAAACCGAGACGGATAGAGCGGGATAGTCCTTCCAGCATACGACTATCGTACTCGATGTCGGCAGTTGGCTTCCTGTAAATGACTCCGACTAGACACCTCGAAGTACTAGACAATCTTACAGAGCACCATATGGATTCCTCAAGATTGTTAAACTCGAGGTTGTGAACTTGGTGCACCTCCAAGCAAGAGCTTATGTATATGGCTACTCCGCCCCCAATTCCTGTTTTTCTGTCGTTGCGGAACAAAGTCATCCCAGGTAATGCTAACTCTTGGTCCGAGAACTGAGAAGATATCCAGGTTTCAGATATTCCTATCAGATGGGCCTTATTAGCGTTGCTAAGTTCACGTAGTTCATCCAGTTTGTTTGGTAGACTCGCGGCGTTCATATATAAGCAGTTTATGCTTTCAATTTGGAACGCGTGAGCTTCGTCCTGTTTTTCTGTATGAACCTTATGTGAATGGACAGGTAGCCCACCTATATGAGGTTTGCCGAGGTGGTAGGCCCTGTCCTTTACACGTTTTTTTATCGTTTAGACAGTCCACAAGTGGAATGGTCAGCTCCAACTTGCCTTTGTTCTTGGTCCTAGCTTCGTATGGCCTATCCGGGTGCATGTGGATTCCAGGTGGCAATCGACGTCTGTTGGCACGAAATGCTTCCAGAACTGCAGCCGCCATGTGGGAAGATGGGAAGGTTATCTTCATTAGACGGGTCTAGGATCACCGTCCTTCTTGGCTAGTCTCGTCACATGCTGAGTCAGTATGTGTTTGAGCCTCAAGGACTGTTTGATGAATTTCCATTCCCTGATGTCAGAATTTGATTGAGTAGGGTCTGCATTTTCCGGTATACCTTGCACAATTATGTTTCTTCCGCGGAAAAACTTCTCGCGAGATTCTTTAGGGATGTTTCGTATGATATTGCGCTCAGAGTACGGTATGTCGGGCAATATTCTTACGTTACCATCTGATTTCAGCAAGTGACTTGCTAGCAAGACGTCCTCTACGTCGGTAGCATTCTTAAGTGTTACTCGGAGAAGCCTCGGGTGATTTAGATGCTTAGAATCCTTTCCTCGAGTGAGCCGGGTGACCGTCAAAGGCTCTATTCTAGGAAGTTCAAGCTTCTTGTTCAATTCACCCCAGAGCATCCTGTCGTTTTTGTCCTGCAGACTGAGAGGAAGGTCAGGATTGTCAACGAGGTTCATGATAATGAGAGAATCGTCACGAACTGTTGTTAATTTACCAGGTTTCACGATGGGTTCAGGTTTAATAACTTGTTGTTTGGAGGTCAGTGTGCGTTTTTGAATCTTGGGCTCTTTATTGACCGGACGAACAGTCTTGGGGGTAGACTGTGCGACCAAATCACCAGTTATTTTCCGTGCAGCAACACTTGGGTTGCTCGGCTTAGGCGGTGATGCCTGGTTCTTTTGGGCTCTCTTAACGTGGGTCGAATCACCTACAGGGTTTTTGGGAACCACTGTTGTGTTCAGGGACCCTGAGCTGGGAGACCCGAGTTTGCTTAGGGAGTCTAGTACCGTCGACGTAATGATGGTGCTGAGCCTCGACACGTCATCATTAGTGTTGATGGATGCTCCATCGGTGGTATACCTATCGACATCCCTATTTTTGTATCCGTCGCACGCTCTTGTTTGTCTACCGGTTTTTTTACTATCGTTATCCAAGTTAACTGACAACTTGTTCCGAAGACCTGTCAGTAGGACAATGATGTTACTCAGCAAGACTACAGCGTCCGTGCTGCACGTGACACACACCCACTTTTGGTCTGACTTGCTGAGTCTGTTGTAAGCAGTTGCTGTCAGATCTGTGCATGCTTCGTGGAACCAACCTTTGCAGTTGTCGCACTGCATGCCAGTTGTAACAGCAAAACGGCATCCCGGACGTTTGCATGAGTTTTTCATGACTGTGTTGAAGCAAACTATGTTATAGATGCTTGCAAAAGCCTAAGACCTTTAAAAAACACTAAAAAGCACACTGAAAACGGACAAAAACAGATAAAACGAGTGATATAAACTGAAACTAGTCTATACGTGAAAAACAAAAAAAACCGAATAGTAAGCTGAGGCAAAACCACAGGTAACTATTAAATATGGTGAAACTCAAAAAAAGTAATCTACCGAACGTATAGCTCAGGATAGATTCTTTAGAACTGAAATGGTACTTTTGTTGCGTAAGAACACAGCAAAAGTTTGATAAATGCAAATCACGTTAGGACTAAACTTCCCGTTCGAAAAGCGCGCTGTAAGTATTGACCATAAAATTCTAAAACCTTTGGCGGCTATTGCACGACGGCGTGTAGTAGTCTTTAAGTCTCGACTAACGATGACTCGCAAGTCATTGTGTGTCTGGACAACAGATGTCTCAGTGTATGCACTATTATCTGTACCTTGATGACTGATATGAATCACAATACACTTGGAAGTATTTATCGGCAATTGCCAGGTTCGAAACCATTCAGATAATTTCTTTAGGTAATTTTGGAGTACTAAGCTATCACCCTTACTTCGTATCGTTTTCCATATCTTCATATCGTCAGCATATGGAAAGAACAATGATGATAGTAGACGAAGAAAGACATTTACACACAAGAGGAATACATCGGCCCCGAAACTGTACCCTGGGGCACTCCACTAAGTACAGTTTCCCAGTTTGAAAACTGAGTTCACCGGTACCCTTTGTTGGCGCCTAACTAGCAGGTATTTTATCCACATCAATAGATTGCCCCCAACCCCGACATTTCTTAACTTGTGTAACAGCCAGTTGTGCGGAACTTTGTCAAAAGCTTTGCTGAAGTCTGATCTAATCTGGCTAACGGTCGCAGGGGTTGTTGAGAACGGCGTTCCTACTCGTGATCTGGTGCAGATACATGGCCGTGCGCTTTCAGCTAGATATGTCCACTAAAACAAATGTGGCCAGCGTCCAATGTCGAAAACTTCAGAGCTATTTATTTTGGGGATTTTTTTACCACTACAACAGGAATAACCTATTCTAAAACCATGTAGCTTCTCCGAAAGGATCCTGTTTTCATCGAGGTACTTAAATAGCTTCTTCCGGATAATGTTTTCTAAGGTTTTAACAACCACACTAGTTAGGCTAACGGGTCGGTAATTCTCAGGTTTAGATTTCATACCAGTTTTGAAGACAGGACTTACTATGGAATTCTTCCAGTCTTTTGGTAAACGACGATGGATAACGGATAGATTAAATCATATACTTAAAGGGTTCGTAACGAAGTTAGCTAATTTCTTTAATAACCTAGGGTGCATTGCCCCGTGGATTTGCCTATATCAAGCTTATTCAGTAGACCAAAGACATCGCGCGTGAACTGAACATTTGCAGTACATAATAAAAGTAGTTTTTTCAACAGTGTTGACCGAATAGGGAAAGAGGGGAATTATTAAATATATGCTCACAAAGGAAACCAACAGTCTTAGTTAACGGTACGTTTGTAAAAAGAAAGTTTACATCAAAAGAATGCAAAATCTTATCTTTAGTATTATAATATTAATTAATGTCCTCAAGAAGATCAATTAGTTCAATTGTATCTTTTAAAAAAGACTTGCATAGTTTATTGCGAATTAGGTCTAGCAGTCTCACTAGCCAATCTGCTAGTTCATGTTTAGGTGAACCACACATATATAGTATTGGTCGTAATGGATTATTAGGTTTATGAATTTTAGACAATCCATATAAACTCGAGAGAACAGTGCCGGAAGGTTTCAGCATATTAAGTTCTTTTTTGTTTATGGCTCATTCTAAGGAGCTTCAGTAAATTGACCTGTACTCTGGATTCCAGTTTTCTAACATTAATATTTGATGGAACGTCTTCTAAGAACTTACTCTGCTCACCAAGTATAGATAAAAGTTTTACCTTATAGTCATATGTATTAATAACAACAACCCGAGAACCTTTGTCAGGTTTGAGGATCACGATATTTGATTTACTTTGGAGGTTTTTTAAAGCAGCGAAATGTTTAGAAGTAAAAATACTCTTGTATCTGATTTGAGAACCGTGAAATTGGTGGACAATATCAACCAATTTCACCTACCTAGTGCTATTGGGACCAGGGGGTTCAGTGGATCATAGGGATTTTCGAATTGAGCATCTGTCAATAAATCAGAAACTTTGGCATGCACAATGAAGAAATTTTTAAGGACGAATTCTCAGGTTTATAGAGGCCTCATGTATTCGTAAATTAAAACTTCCTTGTGTGTACAAAAACAAGTTGTCGCAACCTTAAATTTACTCTGGTAATCCCTAAGCCATTTTATAACTTATGGTATTGTGACAATTTCTCATTCTTTCTATACGATGCTAATTTTCTCTTTTGTTACTTTGTTTACTTGGACCTTCATTTAATTGACTTTTATTAATTTTCATATAAAATTCCTTGGTAAGTATATCTGTGACCAGATTATTCGGAATGTATGGCGCAAATACATCACATTTTCCAGATTAACTCTGTCTTCTCATTGAGTTATCGAAATTTTTGTTTTTTTATGTTTATTGAGTATTTTATGTTGGTTTTACTGTGATATATAACGTCGGCTATAGTGATCCAAATAGCATTTACTGTTCTGTTTTTTGGATATTACACGCATAACTCAATGTTCTTTTTACCTAAGTCATGCTTGAATTTTTTCCCAGTTTGGATAACCATGTTCCACAGCTATTTCTCACATAATAACGCTTTCCTTTAACACTGTTTTTGGTAATTTACTCTGGTACGGGGACCTAGTCGTTAGTGGATACAGCTCCCAACCGCTAAGCCTTGGTTCAAATCCCGATCGGCCCACTTGGACTTCAGCCACCGGATAGTATCATTAGCCTTCACACTTCGAGCTTGAATCATACTCAAGTATCTAGTGAACAAACTAAAAATGAAAATCGTCATAATAATTTATTTAACATTTATTTGTTATTAAAGAATGATATATATGATTAGTGAGATTCTCCATTAACGAATTACACCCGTGACTGTTACAAATAACTTTATACTGGCGAATTAATTGCGTTTGCGTGTGTGCATTCGATTCCAGTTCTAACAAATCTTTGCAAGGTGGTTGCCACGGTAACAAGTTTTGATTTAAATTCTTTTAGATGTCACGTCTGTCAGTTAACCACAAGTTAGAGACCATTGTATCATTGGATACGAAAACAAAAGAACTGATTGTTGAAATTGAAAACATTAGTAAAGGAATCAATAATACGAAATCTTGTCGAGAAAAACTAGATTGTTACCAAACTAAAATTAGAGAGAATCTCTTAACTATTAATTCGATTTTGGATGAATTGCAAACGTTCGGACGTGAAACAAACATTTCATCTACAAACAGGACACTGTATGAAGCAATTGTTCAGAATAAAAAACAACTATTTACACTGCAGGTAATGTACTTTCCACATTAGTCACCTTGTTCTATATCTCTTCAACTAAGTGAAGTTTACTATTTTTTATGCGGATGTGTAATGATATTAGTGTAATGTATTCATTCATAACAGCAGTGTGTCACGGTTAAACTAATTTCACAACTCGGCACCGCAATATCGTTTTATGTTTTCTATATATCGCTTTATTAAATAAATCTATGGGCAGACTGACCAGCAGGATCGGAATCCTGATGCAACTTTCGGGATAACTAGTGCAATCATTGCTTAGTTAATGTTTGGTAAATGTATTCGAATAAAGTGTTTGGTATCTGTGATTCCGAAACATCATTTACATTATACGTAATGTGGTGGGTTGGAAAAAAGGTATAGATAGCCAAACGAAAACACGCCATCATTCCATGAAGTCATTGACTGTTGAACTGAACCGGGTCAGAAGGTTCAGAATCACTCACAGTAATACAGGTGCATTGACTCTGTCTTCCTTTAGATTATAAAATTCCATGGTAATTAGAAGTATCCGAATTGATGTACTAATAATTATTTGAGGCAGGTAGAACTACATGAGCACAAATGAACGTATTATATTTGGAGTTCGTAATCAGCACGCAACCAAGTACTAAGGAACCATCAGTTAATACAAATACCACAGTTTCTTAAGCTTTTTATCCATGAGTCCATATATTTTTACAATCATAACATTTATGCTTAATCTTTTCAATTACCACTAACAGTTATTAAATATACTACTCAAACATCTGTTCACTGATGCGGTACGGTGCACATATGTACTGGGTTCTACATTGCATAAACCTGACTGACTGATAGGATGGATCTTATCGAGTATTTTAAAGCAATAAGTCCCTTTAATGAATTTCGGTAATGTAATGAGAAGACGAAGACTATCACAACTATGTGATATATTAGCGCAATACATTTCGAACAATCTGATCACACATATACTTGTTAAGAGCATTTTTATATAAAAATAAAAGGTCAACTAGACTGGAAATGGGGTAAGAGGAGATAAGGATAATAATAAGAGTAATAATAATAATAAATGTGAACACAATTCGAAACCTGATCACTCTGGATAATAAGTCAATATTACCAAGGTAGGTTTAAGGTAAGAACAAACTGTTTTTGAATACACAAAGGGGGTTTGAATTTTCGTATGGCTAAGGCTTCAACAAGCCTTAGTATACGCTCTTTTACACTTTTATACAACACCACAAAAGCCGAGTTTAGATCAATCTTACGGCCTGTTTCAATTATATGTTTAGCAATAGAGGATGGTGGATGTTTATCCTCTGCTCTTATTGGGTCACTTGATTGTATTTGTTTCTGCAGCCATTTTGGTACATGTTCACACACCCTAATGTTTAGATCACGATTGCTCCTCCCTTTAAATTGGTAAACGCAGTGGGATGTGACACAATCGTTTTAATGTCTTTTAGGTTTTGGATGAAGCATGCACTTTGTTCTTTCTTTGATAATGACCTTTGCTGCGCAATACGTTTTATTGATGACTGATTTAAGTCTGTTTCAATAAAAGGCTATTTGAATCACCTCTGAATGATAAGGTGATGTAGACAGGCTTTGTTTCTACCAAGGCTACAGTAAGTCTCACTGTACCATGGACTTTCCATCTATTTATGAATTTCAGAGGATAACCATTTTCTACTAATGTTTTATTTAGCAACCTAGCATCATCACCAATGGCGTCATTTGTACAAATACGATCAAGCCTGTTGAAAAGACAGCTTATCAAACCACGTGTGTATTGCACAGGGCAATAACTATAATAACTAAGGTATTGACCTGTCCACGTTGGTTTTCTAAAAATGGATCGCTTGACTGAGCCATCTTCTCGTCTACTCAGAAGTATATCTAAGAAGGGAAGCTGATCGTTTTTCTCCTCTTCACATGAGAGACTAATATGGTTTTGGAGAATGTTAAGTTTATTTAATAAACGGTACATATCCCCTTTTCTTTCACAAACAACTAAGACATCGTCCACATATCTCTTATAAGATGACATGTTTCCGATTAGGTCATCGGCCAGATTTTCAACATGTGCCATGAACACATCTGCTAATAATGGACTACCCATAGCAACCTCATCAATCTGACGAAGGTATTCACCTTCAAAAGTGAACTGAACTTTGTCAGTACATAATAATAGTAAATCTTTAAGAAATTTTACAGGTACACGTGATTGGAAATTGTTTACAGATATGTAATCACAATATATCAACGGTTTTTTTCAAAGGTACATTTGTAAACAAGGAATTTACATCAAATGAACACATTGTCTTTTCCTTGATATTAATATCACCTAAATGATCAACCAGTTCAAAAGAATCCTTTAGAGAATACTTACATAGATGTCTTCGAATAGGGTCCAACAACGTTGTTAACCATTTAGCCAGATTATGTGTAGGTGATCTGCACATTGATAGAATTGGACGTAAAGGAACATTAGGTTTGTGAATTTTAGGTAGTCCATATAAATGAGGGTACTCGGAACCCATAGGTTTTTGAAAATTAAATTCCTCGTTATTAATAATATTCATGCGTAGCAATTTTCCTAGGTTTGAATTTACTTTTCCTTCTAGTTTGCTAATACCTCCAAATTCAACATCAGGCATAAATTTACTTTCATCACTAAGGATGGATAACATCTTACTTTTATATTCACATTTATTCATGATAAGTACGCCTGATCCTTTATCAGGTTTTAACAAGACAATATCAGAATTTGTTTGTAGTTCTTTTAATGATTTAAAATGCTGAGAAGTTAATATGCTTCTCTGCTTCGGTCCAACATTATGAAATTGGTGTGCTATATCCACTAGTTTAGCTTTACACCAGCTTTGATTATTTAAAGACGTAGGGGTTAGAGTACTCAGTTGATCATATAGATTTTCAAATTGGGCATTTATTTCCAATTCAGACATTTGCGTTATAGGGACTGAGAAATTAAAACCAAGAGAAAGTGCTTCCTTTTCGTTAGCAGATAATACAATGGAAGGTAAATTAGTGACATACTTTTCAGGATTTACTGGGAATAAATTAACTTGATTAGTAATAATACAAGATTTTTCGAGCTTTTTACCGATCCTTTCCTTTGTTTTCAAAATGACATTACTGCAAAAGTTGGTGAATTTAATATGGCAGACTATAGATATTTCATTTAATATAGGCAATGCTTGAGTGTGTAATTCAATTAAATTGCTCAGTTTGTCTTGGCACTTATCTATATATGATTTCGACAATCGAATAAGATGTGAAATATTTGGATTTAATTTACTTGAACGTAAATTCTTGTATAGTTGATTTGGGAATATGTGACTCGACAAACAAGATATATAGAAATATCTATAGTCTGCCATATTAAATTCACCAACTTTTGCAGTAATGTCATTTTGAAAACAAAGGAAAGGATCGGTAAAAAGCTCGAAAAATCTTGTATTATTACTAATCAAGTTAATTTATTCCCAGTAAATCCTGAAAAGTATGTCACTAATTTACCTTCCATTGTATTATCTGCTAACGAAAAGGAAGCACTTTCTCTTGGTTTTAATTTCTCAGTCCCTATAACGCAAATGTCTGAATTGGAAATAAATGCCCAATTTGAAAATCTATATGATCAACTGAGTACTCTAACCCCTACGTCTTTAAATAATCAAAGCTGGTGTAAAGCTAAACTAGTGGATATAGCACACCAATTTCATAATGTTGGACCGAAGCAGAGAAGCATATTAACTTCTCAGCATTTTAAATCATTAAAAGAACTACAAACAAATTCTGATATTGTCTTGTTAAAACCTGATAAAGGATCAGGCGTACTTATCATGAATAAATGTGAATATAAAAGTAAGATGTTATCCATCCTTAGTGATGAAAGTAAATTTATGCCTGATGTTGAATTTGGAGGTATTAGCAAACTAGAAGGAAAAGTAAATTCAAACCTAGGAAAATTGCTACGCATGAATATTATTAATAACGAGGAATTTAATTTTCAAAAACCTATGGGTTCCGAGTACCCTCATTTATATGGACTACCTAAAATTCACAAACCTAATGTTCCTTTACGTCCAATTCTATCAATGTGCAGATCACCTACACATAATCTGGCTAAATGGTTAACAACGTTGTTGGACCCTATTCGAAGACATCTATGTAAGTATTCTCTAAAGGATTCTTTTGAACTGGTTGATCATTTAGGTGATATTAATATCAAGGAAAAGACAATGTGTTCATTTGATGTAAATTCCTTGTTTACAAATGTACCTTTGAAAAAAACCGTTGATATATTGTGATTACATATCTGTAAACAATTTCCAATCACGTGTACCTGTAAAATTTCTTAAAGATTTACTATTATTATGTACTGACAAAGTTCAGTTCACTTTTGAAGGTGAATACCTTCGTCAGATTGATGAGGTTGCTATGGGTAGTCCATTATTAGCAGATGTGTTCATGGCACATGTTGAAAATCTGGCCGATGACCTAATCGGAAACATGTCATCTTATAAGAGATATGTGGACGATGTCTTAGTTGTTTGTGAAAGAAAAGGGGATATGTACCGTTTATTAAATAAACTTAACATTCTCCAAAACCATATTAGTCTCTCATGTGAAGAGGAGAAAAACGATCAGCTTCCCTTCTTAGATATACTTCTGAGTAGACGAGAAGATGGCTCAGTCAAGCGATCCATTTTTAGAAAACCAACGTGGACAGGTCAATACCTTAGTTATTATAGTTATTGCCCTGTGCAATACACACGTGGTTTGATAAGCTGTCTTTTCAACAGGCTTGATCGTATTTGTACAAATGACGCCATTGGTGATGATGCTAGGTTGCTAAATAAAACATTAGTAGAAAATGGTTATCCTCTGAAATTCATAAATAGATGGAAAGTCCATGGTACAGTGAGACTTACTGTAGCCTTGGTAGAAACAAAGCCTGTCTACATCACCTTATCATTCAGAGGTGATTCAAATAGCCTTTTATTGAAACAGACTTAAATCAGTCATCAATAAAACGTATTGCGCAGCAAAGGTCATTATCAAAGAAAGAACAAAGTGCATGCTTCATCCAAAACCTAAAAGACATTAAAACGATTGTGTCACATCCCACTGCGTTTACCAATTTAAAGGGAGGAGCAATCGTGATCTAAACATTAGGGTGTGTGAACATGTACCAAAATGGCTGCAGAAACAAATACAATCAAGTGACCCAATAAGAGCAGAGGATAAACATCCACCATCCTCTATTGCTAAACATATAATTGAAACAGGCCGTAAGATTGATCTAAACTCGGCTTTTGTGGTGTTGTATAAAAGTGTAAAAGAGCGTATACTAAGGCTTGTTGAAGCCTTAGCCATACGAAAATTCAAACCCCCTTTGTGTATTCAAAAACAGTTTGTTCTTACCTTAAACCTACCTTGGTAATATTGACTTATTATCCAGAGTGATCAGGTTTCGAATTGTGTTCACATTTATTATTATTATTATTATTATATTATTATATTATTATTATTATTATTACTCTTATTATTATCCTTATCTCCTCTTACCCCATTTCCAGTCTAGTTGACCTTTTATTTTTATATAAAAATGCTCTTAACAAGTATATGTGTGATCAGATTGTTCGAAATGTATTGCGCTAATATATCACATAGTTCTGATAATCTTCTTCTTGTTACATTATGGAGTATTATTATTTTCATTTACTGCGTTGTATTCACTGAACATTAGGTTTCAGTCGAGTTTTTCCAATTCGGAATAGGAATGGAGATCAAACAATATATATCCCAATAAATCAAACCACAAAATGCTATAGTGAAAACACTCGAACTTTCTTAGAATTTACATAAAAGTCTAACTTCTCGATCCGTCCACTAATGCTGGTCGATTAAATGTGAACCAGTTAGCGTATCCCGATTTGATTTTGGTCAGAGCATGCGATTGTCAGGACAGTATCCTGTTAACTTCCCTATCTTTGAGCAGATTTGTAGGATATTGTTGTGGGGTGAGGTTTTCCGTTATGGTTTAATTGGATGAAATTTTTGATTGTCGAAATCAATGTATAGAATGCCAATTGATACATGAACGCAATGATATAGTAGGACCTAGCGATGGCTACTCACAAAACCATCTGTTTCTGCTTAAGCCGCCGAATTATTAAAAAAAAAGGACAAGGTTACTAATAGCCAGATAAATAGGCTTTCTCATGTAAGAAAATGACCTGCTTATATAAAAATTATGAACACAAAATAAGCTTGATAAAATTTAAGTGATTGGAACAAATTAACTTGTTAGTCACTCATTCTCCAGTCAATTAAGACCTGACTGTAAAGTCTAATCTTTGAGTATCGTATCAGATATGTTGTTGCAATCCAACTGCATCAGACTGACCTGTCTGCTCTTCATAGCTGTCCTGATTCTTGTCATTAAAGACATTGTATTGTTTTTGTGCCCTAGATTGAGCTCAAATAATACTGATAGTTAAATGTCGAAGATGTCAAACAAAATATAAACTAGTATTCTACAATGCTTCTCGCTAGTGAAGTTGCTTTCAAATTTTAACGTGTAATACTCAATTTGGTAGATCAACTAACACGTCATAGATAACGTAACCTATTCTTTTCAGGATTCGATTGGCTATTCATGTAAGGTATTTGTCACGGTAATTCATAGCAAATACTTTCTGACAGTAAACAATCATTTCTATGCTTCATAATGTTTGAATTGCTTCTCCATAGATGTTTTGTTGAAGTTCATACGATGGCAGCGGACCAATAAAATCGAAAGATGTACACAATTATATACCAAGTAAAGCTTCTATCAGAAAGATGTCATTGGGTGATTGAAGGTTCGGTGTAGTGTAGTAGATGAACAGGAACCCACCTACGATCTCAATGGTCCTCGCCCGTTAGATGTCTTCAGAGAGTCTTTGAATGTACCAACAAAACGCTCGACTCGACCGTTCGATTAAGGCTGAAGCAGTGACAATCGGATATGATTAATACCGTTCCGGAGACAAAATTCGTCGGACAGCTAACCCAAACTACTTCTCGTTATTACTAAGTCTTGGTTGTCGTGGTTTTCTTACTGGGATAATTTCAGTCAGGTTGGTTGTCAAAAGAATTTATGGCCAGTCGTAGTTACAACATGTGTTGTAAATTACTGTTGGGGTACACTATCGGGTCGTTCTAGGTATTGGAGCATTTCTGTTGACAAGCTCTTTCCATCTATATTTTACACTTGACTAACAGTCAAAACAAAATGCATTTCATTTATGGCTGTTCTTTAGATGGTTCGGTTTGAATCGTTACTGAAATACAATCGTACACGAAGACAAAATCGAAATCGAAACCTCAGTTGGATTTATATCAAAATACAGCACAATTTGTCAGAAAATGATTCCATTTTATTTGATAAATTAATATTTGTGTACAAATTTGCTAGAGAAGTAAAAATATATGCAGGTTGCTAATCATTCGGTGGTTCCAGTACTTTATATATTAGTCAATTTTTTGTTCATTATAACACAAAAAGGTAGTCGTTTTGTTACTAATTTGAGACAGAATTCGGTAACAAAGCTTTTAAAATGCACGAATTGCTTAAGAAATTGTCCAGGAGACTTTTTCAAAGGGAAGTTTTATTCACTTAACCGAAAACTGTCATCGATACCCACGTCGATATTGTGATAATGTCTCAGTTAATGATCATAAGGCTTAACATCTTTTGTTTCAATGCCTGTTTTTTTTGTGTAAAACAGAATAGCATATCTCTCTATTCTTTTATCTTACAATAAACATACAACTTTGTGTTTTGATTTTCCAAATTTAATCCCTTCTCAATGATACGCATTGCTTGATCCTTATAGATTCTTTTCATTTAAAAAAAATGGTCACTTTTTATCGTATTTGGGTTGAATTTCCTATGAATTAATGGATTATGTTTAATTGTAACTCAGATTTACGTTGGATGTAATTTATTGTTTGTATAAATATGTCTTCTAGTTATAATATTTATAGTCTTGTTTAATTTTATACTTTGAATATTTGTCAGGATCGATATCGTAAAGCTATCTTTGCAGCCAATTCAACTTTAGAAACTGTTGAAAAGGCTGAACTTACTAATCGTTCATCAATAACTGAAATCGGTAACAAGATTTCCAATTTAGAAGAACAATATCAAAACTCATTGGAACTTACTCAAGATATGACGAGGTATGCTAGACTTCTAGCGGAAGAAGTTCAACGTGGAGCTGTTAATGCTGAATTACTTGAAAATTCATCAAATAAATTAATCTCGAATTATTCTGAACTGAAAGAAATGGCTGGACATATGAATCAGTCGAAACATTTAACATCTTTAGCTCGTCGGCGTCGTTTTACAGAAAGAGTGCTTTTCTTTCTAGCATTTTCATTTTTCTTTTTAAGTTGTGGAACTATATTTTTACATAGGATACCTATGGGACATTGGTTTTTGCCATCTAGTTATTAGTTTTTTAATAATTGTCTAGTTTTCTATGGAATTATTTATGCATAATTAAATTGAGTTACTTGTACATCTTCTTTGCGTTGTCCTTTACCTATTACATTATTTCCTTAATTCTGTTATCTCGATTCCTCTTCGACTTTTTTCTATACTCTTCAATTCAATCTCCTGCTACCAGGCATTCCACTTCTGATTGGGGATACATACTACTTATATCTGTCAGCCCAAGTAGCATACACCAGATGTATATTACTACAGATTCTATTTTTTATGTATAAAACTACTGTTCGTCTTAATTTCAATGTATAAACTAAACTAATATTTCCGAATGTTTGTTTTTGGTTATTTTTGTATAACTGTATGAAACAAATATATTAATTTTTTCATGTGGTAAGTTACCCAAATTGATTACCTTCTTATCAGCCTAACTTAGACAGAAATCGATTGTTCAGCAGGTTGATCAATCTGCGCTAATCTTTCCAGCTTGTTTTCTAGTGGTGATCCGGCTTTTTCTTGAATGTGTTCACTGATGGGGCTGATAACACTTGTTGGGGTAGGGTGTTCCAGTCATTGACCACTCTATAAGAAAAATGTAATCCTACTCTGAGTTTATTTGATCGTAGTTTTTGAACCTTATTGCGATGGCCACTCATATTATTAGTTCTGGGGGTGCTAAATGATAAGATATGTTAACACACAAACCATTATTCAAGATACGGAATGTCAATATCAGGTTACCTCGCGTCCCACGATAAGATAAGGAGAAAAGGTTTAAGCTCTCATTGTAGGGGAGTTTAGAAAGATCCATCGCTAACTTATTTCCTGCACATTGATGATGCTCGAGTGTAATAACATCCTAAGTAAAACATGGATTAACTGTTTGGATGCAATACTTTAGGTAAGGTTTTACATGCATGGAAGCTATGTGTCGTTGACGGCATACTGGTAACTATTACCGTGTCCAATATGCATTAGCATATTCCCTAGAAATAATTTCCAAACTCCAATTTCGTGACCGTCTAGCTAATTCGCCTGGATTAGCTGGGAGATCAATATGATCAATTCTACTTATTTTTCCCCAGACTTTGACATTACCTGCAAGTAATTGTTGACGACAACAGTCATGGTAATTTTATTGACGTAGAGAAGAAAAAATAGGCAGTTTAAGATGATGCCTTCGGAAACACTACTTTTAACTAGTTTTTATCCAAATAGTGTACTATTTACCTTCACTCTCGGTCAGAGGGACTTTCTTATTCACTCTTGTATTTTATCTGATATTCCAAGGCTGGAGAGCTTTTGCATAAAGCTTTAGTAAGACACCTTATCAAATGGCTTGCTGAAATCTATGAATATCACATCGACAGAAAAGACGCTATCTTGGCCCGCTGTCTAATCCTCCGTTACAGTCAGTAAGTTAGTTAAACATAAATGTCTATCTCAAAACCCGTGTTGCTTAGAAGTTAACAGGTTATATGATTCTATGTGACCTAATAACTTATCCTGAATTACTTTCTCAAATAAATTGACTACTATGATAGACTAACAGATATGTAGTTAGACACGATCTGTCTCTTTCCATACTTAACAATACTATCCAATCCCTAGGGAGTTGAGACATGCTGAACAACACTGTGAGTGGTTCTGAAATGATATTCGTGGGGGGGGTGACAGGAGTCGTGATCGTAACCAATCAGAGCCAGGTTTGCAGCCAACAAGCGATGGAAGAACGGCCTTCTCAGTCACAAGCACTGGTCTCAGCAGTGTGTCTACGAGGAGTTTTAATAAAAATATCCTTGGGTAAACCTAGCTGAAATAGTTTTAGAAATTAAGCTTTGGCCACATCTGACTCAGCCACTGCGTCTGAATTGTCGTATAACAGTAATGGGACAATCCCATTATTTCGTTTCGTTCTCTCTACAACTACCCACCATTCCCAGACAGTGTGGATGGAACATTGAAGTAGGTCTCCCGAATCTAGCTGAAGTTCAAAAGGCTATAGTTAGTCCGAAACGAGGAAGAGCAGCTGGTCCAGATGAATTGGCTCCAGAGGTCTTTAAGGATGGTGGTCCAATTTTAGCGATTAGGTTAACTAATATTTTAGCTAAGATCTAGGAGTTAGACGTTATTCCATCTGACTGGTCACAGTCACTGATCGTCCCAATATATAAGAGAGGGTTAAAATCATCCTGTGACAACCATAGAGGGATTAGTTTGACTAATATAGCATCTAAAATACTAGCCTCGATAATTATCGGACGCCTAACTAAGACTCGTGAACTGCAAACACGGGAAAATCAAGCTGGCTTCGGACCTGTTCGTGGCTGCATCGACCACATATTCACCATTCGTCAGGTTCTAGAACACAGGCATACTTATCGGCGTCCGACAATGGTGGTCTTTCTTGACTTAAAGGCAGCATTTGACTCTGGAGACCGACAGGTTGTGTGGCAGTGTCCGTCATTAGAAGATATACCTTAGAAGTACATAAACCTTGTGAAAACGCTTTACTCGAACACTACTAGTCGAGTCAGAGCTTATGGCGAACTGTCATCTGCTTTTGCAACCTCAAGTGTTGTCCGTCAAGGCTGTCGACTTTCTCCATTTTTGTCTAACTTTATCATAGACCTACTGATGGAAATAACGCTCTTATTGACGGAATTTTCGGGCATTGATCTCATTCCATGAGGTCCAATTATCGACTTAGAATACGCAGATGACATAGTCCTGTTTGGTGAAGACGCTGAAAAAATGCTGAGTCTTTGGTAGCACTGAGCAACAGTGCCAGCATGTTTGGAATGCGCTCCTCTCCCTCCAAATGCAAGTTGTTGCTTCAGGACTGGTCTGCGTCAACACCTGAACTAAGGATAGGGAGTGAAGTAGTCGAACACGTTGACAACTCCACTTACCTAAGAAGTCTGACCAACCCAAATGGGTTGGTGTCTGACGAAATATCAGCATGGATTCGAAAAGCTCGTTTGGTTTTTGCCGACTTACGTCACCTATGGCGAAGGCGAGATATCCGTCTATCAATAAAAGGATGAGTATACTGCGTGGTAGTTCGTTCTTTTTTAATTTACGGCAGCGAAACATGGCCATTAAGAGTAGGAGATACTCGTAAGCTACTAATATTTGACCACAGATGTCTTAGAAATATTGCTTGCATCTGTTGGGATCACCGGGCAAGTAATAGTGAGGTTCGACGCATAGTATTAGGGAACGATGGTAAATCAGTTGATGAGGTTGTGAATCTTCATCGACTGAGATGGTTGGGCCACGTGTTACGTATGCCTGAACACCGATTAACACGACACGCAATGCTGTCTAGTGTTGGTGATGGTTGGAAGAAAGTTAGGGGTGGCCAAACCAAAACATGGCATCAGTGCTTGAAGTCACTAACTTCTAGTCTGAGCCATGTTAGTAGATGTAGACTACTTGGTTGGGGTCCGCGTGACTATCGTAACCAATGGTTGGAGACTCTGGGTAACATGGCTCAGAATCTATCACAATGTCGTCAGTGTATACACTCTCTGTCTTCCCTTAAACTATGAGACTAAAATTATTTCATATCTTTCTATGTACGTACTAAATCTTTCTTCCTATACCATATCCTTATATTCAATTTTTCCTTTATATATTACATCATTGAGTTAACTGCTTCTATGGATTTGGTGTCCATCTTGCTGTGCTAATGAGGTATGGCAACTTGGACGATGTACATATGTGCCTGGTTCTACATTGTATGTGACTGACTGTTTAGTTCTCTTCTCTATATATTACAGCAATCGTTTTGGCTCATGTGCCGACTTTCGTAAGTATTGCTAGATCTGGCTATACCCGTTTCACATAAATTCCTAATCTTTCAGTACTCTCACTTGAACGATTCATGACCTGCTGTTAAGACCAAGTTCCAATCGTGCTTCCTACTTCACAATGATTTTTGGATATCTCTATCGATGCATGCAGGTCAACGTGATGGCTTACGTGGAGCTGATCATAGAATGAACGGATTGGCTGCGGCTTTAAACTCAATCAACTCACCTTCAATTAACTGATTAATTTATTGAAACAACAAAATCTCTGATTACCGGAATGTTAGCCCGCCAGATATTGGGACGAGTTGTGGCAGACAGACATATACTGTATATTATCTATTCAAATATTTAAAGTATGATCGCTGCTCGCCAGTGGGGGTAAGAAATCAGTGTCGGAAGCTTCATAACGTTGAATGAAGACAAGGTTCAACAGTGATTGTTCATATTCTAAGTTATAATATGCCAGTTGTTTAATAGATTGTACAAGTTCAAACCGAAGACTAGTTAACAGTAGGTTTCAGTCTAAACATCCACCTGAAGTTGTAGGCTCTAACCAGTTGATATGTGGCTCATTGATATCTCTAGAGATGAGACGAAAACCAGCCTTACTCCACGTTCAGATATGACTTCAAAAAAAGTCATCAGCAAGAGAAATTGTGCTACGATGTATTCCTTCTGTGGTTACCAACTGTCAGTAGGACATGGGTTAAGTTGTTGCATGTTCCATAGAGAATTACGTTATAGCATACTGACTGACCTATTTCTGGTCAATCAGCACTAATTCATAAGTAGAGAAGACTCAGAATGTTCTTGTGCAAAAATCATAAATATACTGACATTTTTCTTTCTAACCTTAGTTAAACTGCTGTTTTGTTTTTGGAATATTAGTAGATTTCTATCTAAACACTGTTCTGATTTAGGGGCCAATGGTCAAAAACTAAATATGCGCCAGAATGAGAGTTTATTAACATATAATACAAAGGAATCAGTAAGTGCAATCAAATGAAATATAACTGTGATAAATTTTACTTGTAAGATGGTCTCTCATATTTAGTGCGACTGGATATGTCTATTTTTGTGCACTGATCAATCATTTCCTACTTCCATCAGACAAATAACAAGCTTCTTTTTTAATTGATATTGAGTTAGTGAAATGAACAAGAATTGGATGGAACTAGAAAAGAAGGCCCAGGACAGAGTGGGTTGGAGAATGCTGGTCAGCGGCCTATGCTCCATTGAGAGTAACAGGCGTAAGTAAGTAAGTAATTTTAATTAGAAACTCGTAAATATCTTAACTGATAATGTCTTAGTTATTGAATCACTTAGTTTATAACTAAGAAGTCACAAATTCAAATATCATTACACCTAATTAGGATAATATTACCCTCCTTTATACATACAATACGTAAATCAAAGTTGAACTCACCAAATGGTACTTGATAAATGAGTTATATTAAAATTTCAGTGAACTATTAATAACTGACTAAGTGTTTATAGTAATTTGATGAGAATATAACAAATAATCCTGATTTATCTCTTTAAAACTAATCTTTATCATTAGATAAACTAGGTAGAGAATATTTTATGAAATCATTAGTGATTATTAAACATTGTTATTATATTCTATTTTGTGTGAATTAATTAGAAAATAATCGAGTTCAAAGGATTATTATTAAATGGCCGTTCAGTGCTTCCGGGCTTTCCATGGTGGTCTAGCTTCAATGGACTCATAATTACAATTATTGAAATTATTAAATTTACATTTAGTAATTCATTATTTTTCCTTTATCAGTTTAGGTGTTGCGGAGATTAAGTTTTTGGTTGAAATCATGAGTCAATTGAAGCTAGGCCACCATAGAAAACCTGGAAGCACTGGACGGCCGTTTCGTCCTAGCATGGGACTCCTCAGCAGTGCGCATCCACGATCCCACACCCCGCGAGATTAAAACCCAGGACCTATCAGTCTCGCGCCAGGCGCTAAACAACTAGACCACTGAGCTGGTATCCAATGGTGTTAATGTCTAACCTAAACCAATCCACGAAATTGCGCGACCATCTTCCATTGTACTGAGGTAGACACCTGTTTCTACTCGACACGGATTAGCTCCTTTACTTATTTCTGACAACGTTAAGTGCGAATACAACGATAACCAATAAAAAGCTGCGAAATAAATGTCTGAACAAACCAATCAGAAGAAAAGATGAATACACAACTTACGTATATATATATATATATATATATATATATATATATATATATATATATATATATATATATGGTTAGATAAACACACATAAAAAAATAAAACACACACACACACACCAAAATACATAGTTATGATTGGCCACTTAAGTCTGGGGAAAGAATAAACAGTAAGAATATTGATATTGAAAAAGAAAATTACACAATTTAACAACACAAAACGATAAAAAATATCCTAAATTAACAAAACAAATGGGGGGAGAGGAAAATTAACTACCACGATTTATTTATTTAATTGTTTTAAAGACACGTTGTTACGTATAAAAAAATAGCAAAATCATTATTTTGCAGTTAGTTTGTTCAGAGAATTGTCTGTATAACAGTTAAAATGCAAAGAAAATAGAACTGTGAAAACTTTAAAATCATTTCTAATGATTATTGGAATTCTTGTGCGTTTTTTTGTCTTTAGTATGCTGCATATGATTGTTACTATTATTATTATTATTATTATCATTACTTGGCAACAAAAAGTATTGCCTATTTATTTGTTGTTGTTAATTAGTTATTTTCGAAATCCAAATGAAGGCATTAAACTGTAATTATGATTTTGTTTCCTTTTAGCTTTTTTGTTTTACTACTATACACAAACAGAGAGAGAGAGAGAGAGGGGGGGGAATATGTGGAATTAAACCGAAGATCAAAGAAAAGATACTGATTAGTTGATGTATTACACAATAGATTGTAAAATGGAATTTATGGATTTATGATGGTTGTTTTTGTTGTTTACACATGATTTATACCTGACTAGATGACTTTTTCGATTTGGACAAAAAGTTTCTAATTAGTAATAGTCCAATAATTGAACCGATGATGAATAGAAGTAGTAGAATAAATAGACAAACAAATAATTTTGTACTGAAAGAAACTTTTGGACTTTCACTTGGTAAATGACCAGATTGATCTAACATGTAGCCTAATGCCCAGCTAACTGATTTATCACTAACCTATAGAGAGGAAAAAGAGTATTCAATAGAAATAAACAAAAATGAAATCATACTACTATTAATGATTATAAGTAACTTAAAAAAGTCGTTTATTTTTCTAAGCTGCTGAAAGAAACAGTAAAAGTGAACTGTTGAAATACCCTTATGGAATTGATCTACTATTTAAAAAAATATTTGAGATCATTTGATGAATTTTACATGTTGATGTCAAATATATATATATATATATATATATATATATATATAAACATCTAATTCTTCTGCTCTCTCGTCTTATGTCCTGTATTCTATCGAAATAGAGGATTACTGTTGGAATATTGTGTGCCAATCGCTGTTCTATCGGGTCTGTCGTAGAATCCGTTGGTGTTAGAATAAGCTCAGATGTTCCCTTATTAGTAATTACCATAAACCCATACTGTTGTATCCCGATAAGAATAATGAATGATAATTTTTGGGATCCATTTATAGACCAATATTATGAGTACGTTTTTATCGTATAATTGTTTCGTAACTAAACTGTTCATATTCATGCCCCTCTTATTATGAGCTTTATTTTGACCTATGAACTAGCATTATACGATTTACCATTCATGAACTATTCCCTGTCTGTTAATCGGTTCCTCCTTCATTCAGAGCCACATCTGGCTAATTCTTGTACAAATGTTGTTCATACTTTATTGGTACGTTGTGATCTGTTTGTTTGGTATATAAACTCAGTATGCTTGAAATATAATGATCCATATCTCAGAGGCTGAGACTTGCGTTCTGGACTCAACTGGCTAGGCTAGACAGGGAAGCAGGGCCAATCGGGACTCTAGGTCGTTCTTACGTGTTTCACTTGTCTTTGGTCCGATCGATAATTCGCTACTGTCTAATCTGCAGTCACAAGTCATAACACATACCGAACTCAGCCACAGTATAAAATACTCTCAATCTAGAACGAAATAAGCTATTTTATTTTCCCTGATTATCCAGATGACAACAGTCTGTGATGAAAGCTATCTAAATAGTAATGACAGATAAATTTTAAACCATTCATAGGATAAGATAAAAGAATGAAATACAAATGTCTTCTTCCAGTTATTATCGTCTCAGTTATTTAGTGTAGTATATAAATCAACAGTAGTGAATAAAAAAAATGAGAAAGGTCAACAAATCACATGATCAGAAATCAACTGAACTAGACAGAAACCTTGATTACAAACACAGATGAAGACAATAAAACCTAAACGGATAATCAATCATAATAAAAGCTGCTCAAGTTACATGAAAATTAAACATTGATGATGCTAACCAGAGCAACAGTGAAATCTCAATCATATCACCTAACTTAAAGAACTCAACAATACCGAAAGTCTAAGTTACGTTTAATATTTACTATAATCAAGCATAAAATCAATAGCTCAGTTAATTATACTAATAAAAAGAAGTGATCCATCTTACTTTCGAATCAAACGTAAGTGTTTTCCATAATTCATCTGTAGTAAAACCATACATTTTCAATAATTGAATAATATATAAACCATCAAAACAATATTTAGCAGTAAATCCATAGTCAGATGGTTTTGTAATTTTAGCCACCTAAAAATTTATGGTAAATAAGGAAAGACGAAAAATAAAATAAGAAAGTAGTACAAAATAAGTGTGTACAGTTTTAAAATCAAACCTCTGTGTGTGTGTGCGTCAGGGCTACCTGGATGTCTAAAGCAATGTAGATGAATGGAGTAGAACCTACCAACATCTGATCTTTATTTGGAGATTAACTGCATCGACCAAATAGTTTAGTACCAACATCTTTGACTGTGACGTGAGTTCATGCGATATTTAAATAGTATCAGTTTCATTGGCACTGAAGATATACTCTGCTGAGTGATTTCTACACAGCATGAAGACTAAGTACAAGGTAATCTGTCAGTTTTGTCTAAACAATGAACGTTAAAACAAGGTGTACCGTGTACTGTTGTATCATTTGAACCGATGACTACATCGTGACTAAAATAAAAATTATTCAGTTTACGCCAAAAAGACGAGTCAGAAGCGATATTGCCTTTTACTCATAATTAAATGGGTAACTGGTAAAGGTTGTAAATCGGTTGATAAGTTAGTGGATCTTCAATCACTTCATTGAGTTAGACTTTCTTTTTCTGATTGCTTCTGCATTGTTTTAATTCTTTCTTTTCCATTTCACCTCATCGTACTGATGTGGTGCAGCAACTTGATCTAACGCATATATATGCCATCTGTGTTGATGACAGTTATCTGTCTGTTAGTTGTTGTTATGTTTTGTAGGTCTACTACGCAGTATCACCATTCTGAAGAATACTGTGAGTTGTAATTTAGTTTAGAAGCCCCGACGCCACACGCACCCAAAAAGGTCATGGTCGATAAAATGGTATCATTTAGATCAATTCATCATAAATTTTAGTCAGAGTGACAGGTGTGAACTCCAGTTTGGTATGGCATTTTTAAGTTAATATTTTCTTGTGTCAATTCAATATAAACGTTGTTCGATATGACACGTCAGAACATTCATTTAGCGTGGCAATTTTATTCTCTATATTAATTTAGATGACCTACATGTAGTGTTTATTTACAGTAACCGTATGTATTTTCCCCTACATGTGTTATTATAAAATGAGTGTAAAAATTAGTGTATAAATGATTGCATTTTAATCTAATGGTGATGTGATTTTGGAACTTGTTTGGAGACGTGTTTTTGGGGAAGTCAATAAATCCTCATTGCATCAGTCTTTCCTGTTATTACTGAGTCTTGGGAAATATAGTGTTTTCTGTGTCACAGTATAAGCAATACGATTGAGAAATTGCAGCAGTTTCCGACAGCCAAGTAAAAGTAATGGGACTGCGGACTCAGCGAAGTTGATACGTACAAAATAGTAACGACTCTCCAAATACAACTCTCTCTCTCTCTCTCTCTCTCTCTCTCTCTATATATATATATATATATATATATATATCAGGAGTTAACAAATTGTAATGGTAATATCTACAGTGGTTAGCATAGCAAATAATAATTAACATAAGCTGAAATGTTGAACATCACAACTTATGTAATATTTATATATCTATTACAAATAATTATATCAAGAATTCACATCGATTGATTATCGAGTAGTATCTAGTAATATATTTGTCTATTTCTTAGTGCTAATCGAAATTCATCTTGCAAGTTCTAATTCTACAAAGGTTGTTATTTTTGGCAGGATTGAAGGTACGCCTTGCTGATGAGTGTCAATTCTAACGAAGCCTGAACAACAATTCCCTTTCAAGTACACTCAATCACCTCAGATCAATTATAATTTTAAAAAAAATTAACATATAAGCGATAAGAAATTGTCAGAAAATGAATGAAAGTTTACATCTTTCCACGGTTTTTTGCAAAATTCGTAACGGCTTCAGTAACTTCTGTTAGTGTAAATCCTGTCTTCTTGTTAGGAAATAAATACTGCATCACATAAGAAAATCCAGAATATGCCTGAAATTAAATTTAAAAAGCAGTAAATAATATGAATATTGCTTTATTGAAAAGTTTAATTATGTATTATATTACTAAACAGTAGAGAAAAAAATAATAATTTGAACCGTGCAAATCAGTTCAAACATTATCGTAAACTAAAAAATCTACTCTTTTCACCGTTAAGATAGTGTAATTTAAGTGATTCGGAGAGGTGGCCACTGTTTTAAAATTTATGAATAACAGAGATATCAGTGAAATTGATGTTCATTTGAGGCTGAAATCGTGGTGACATTAAGTTTTTTAAAAAAAACTGTGTACAACTATTTCTCACATTGCTAAAATTTGAATAACTGAAGCAAGATTTTAGAAAAATTACGCATAACTAGACACTGTCCATATAAGGAACTATTCTATGTGAAAGAAAACATTAAATAAACATTGAAAAGTTTGTGATTATCAGATAATAATGATCAAATATGAATAATCAATCTACTAACAGCATCCACTAGCCTACAAGAACCTTTATACCCACAAAGGTGCATTCTGAGAAATATTTCATATGCAGAAAAAGTTGATAAAGTATATCAAAGCACTATGTCAACTTTTCAGAGTACTAAGAATATAACCCAGTAGATATGTGCACATTTATTCAAGTTATCATATCAGAACAGCACAACGAGATGAAGTTATCAAAATAAATCCCAGAATAGTATATGTATTAACAGTATTAGTGGTAGTAGAAAAGATTACATATAAACAATAAGGTTCAAGAAGAAATGATTGATGAAAAACGATTGAAATCAAATATAATATGGCATAACTTAAAGCTTCAATTATTTTCGATAATTCACTCCATACAATTCAAGTTATTCAAGTATTTTTAAAAATCTATCTTCAATCCATTTCATTCACATCAATTGACCAGGAAATTGGACGACACTTTACTAGTCAGAAAATATACTACTCATTAATACATAGTAGTAATTTTATTTTAAAGCAATTAAACTAATTTGACATACACTAAGTTACTGGCAATCTGAATCATCCTTGGAAGTTAACTAAAATGATGTGATTTGTAAATTGACATGAATCATTTTGATGTTTTTTGTTGTTATAATAATGAAGGAATAATTCATAAATCCTAAATAAATGAAACCATATTGAAATGTCTGTGGATTACTTGGTTATAATTAAATTTCTATGACTCAGCTACGAGAAGAAATACACACATTTTATAGCGAAAAAGAGAAGAAATAAAACCGAAAGAATCTCAGTGTGGTGTGTAGAGGTTAGACATCATAAAGAAATAGGAAAATAAGTAAGAATTAACAGTTGTATTGTGAAAACACCGGTTTTCAACAGTTTGGTGAAATTTTCCAACTTTATTGCTATTGATATAATAAAGCAGGTACAAGCCTGATACGTAAGCATTAATTCCATTGGAGAGTGAATGATATGTAGTTGGTATATCCTGAAATTGTTTACCTGTTAAATGACTTATAATCGTATTTGTTCCTGTATCCAATATTTTATGTATTAGCATATTATTTTGTCCGAAGAAAAGATTGGAGGCTTATGTCATTGATTCTGTTTTGTGATTGATCATTGTTTGGTCACACTGTATCATTATGTATTGTCAACAGATCGGGGCATTTCATCAATTAATTTAACAATTCTCAAATACGTTTTTCATCATAAATCATAAGAGGTTAATTTATAACGCCTAGGGAATGGAAGTTAGTGTTTTATGATGCCGCGTAAAGCAATCAACTAATTGATTACTAAGCGCTTGTAATGTCGCTTATTATGTTAAACCCATTTACCTTATCCTAGCTTTCGGACAGGCCAATCTATTCATTATACTTGAGTCACATTTTGACCTTGTTAATTATTCGCTTATCAATCTTGACTGTTTTTATATGAGCGTATATATATGTGTGTACACTTCTTATCCCATATATGACTGCAACTTAATTTTGTGTGACTATAAATATTGATTAACGCTTGGTGAAATGGAGTTGGCTGAGATGCCTTCTCTACTGCGCGTAATTCTGCTTCGATCTTTTCTCTTCGCTTCTCCGATATTTTTTCTGGACCAAAGATTGTATGAAATATACGTATTCGAAATTCATTCTCGTTATTTGACTTATTTAATTCCGTTATTGACTAACGCGATTTAAGTCGATGATTATATACGAGGATAGGCAACATACATATTTCGATAGCACTCACTCAAGATCGGTCAACATATCTAATTGGAGTCAGATCCCGTCCTCACTAAACACCACTTTATCGATTATATTACAACACTAATGGAATTCTCTTTCTTACAAGTTCAGAAATCTAATGTTCAACATTTTAGAAGTGTACTGACAGTTATGTATCGGATGATCAACAACAATTGGCAGGGTACTTTATTCTTTGAATGATTTATTGCATCGTTTTCATCATTCTTTCAGTAGTTTTTTTAATAAGTCAGTGAATGCTTGGTCGTTGGAAGTATTCGACGGGAAATTTTTAACCTAGTTTTCATGCTAACTGGTATTCGTTGAAAACTGGCATCTGCAATCTTTAGGGAACTGACATATCTTCTGGGAATCGAACCAGTACCATCCAGCTTTATAATCTAAGCTCTTCGAGCTATAACTGGCCAACAGGACTGATATAAAGTAATGAGTTAAAAATTTTATGTTTTAAACTCCTTGTTTTGGATATCCGATCGTCATAATTTCATGTTTGTATTGTTACTTATTATGCGTGAGTGCTTTCTGGACGTTATAGGTTTATTTCGAGTGGTTACTGATTTGTTAAGTTAATTTTTCGCCCATTCCTATCCCTTCCGTATTCCTAAAAAACTGCATTGCACACCATTCCCTCGATAAACAACAGATTTCAAGGCTAAACACACACTATTTAAAGGGTGAATGTTAGTGATAGGGTGACCAAGAGCTTAATTCATTTGAATGCTAGTGATATGTGATACTGGATTTTCCCCTGTAAGCTGAGACAGATCATTATAGTTTAAGGAGTGATCGTATTGTAATGTACGAAGATTTGGGTTGGGTAAACAGAATTACACAATGTCTTTGTAAAACATGAAAATCACATCAAATACATCATTTGCTCATCTTCCTTGAGTTGTCTTCTACATACTTTATCATTCTTCCAATGATGTTGCTGTTTTGATTGCTTACTGCTGTCTATTCTCTTTTCTTCATTTCAATCTTCTGCTGGTAAGTATTCCACTTCCAATTCCTGTTATATACTACCTATGTCTATCCGTCTAAGTATCACAGTAGCGTATGCCATACTCGTTCCTCCTTTAATAAGTCGCTTTTTCGTCGTTCCGCTCGCGCTGATCTCCATAGCTCTGTGTTAGTTATATTGACTGGTTTAGATGCCTAATTTTATGATATAGTCAACTATGTTTAGTGACCAATTCATTGATTATCAAGATCTATTCATAGTTCAAACAGTAAAGATATGTTTTTAAACAGTTAATCAATCTTCACTATATTAAGTCTTCCGTGTTTGTACTTAGTGTCGCAGGAATTGTAGTAATTTCTGTTTTCAAGTATTAGCAGTAGGACCTGGGAACACAACCATTAAATCTTAGTTATCGCGCATTTTAAAGAGAAAATTCTGGAAGATATTATTGTAATGCACAGATTGCTTCGAACTGGTAGGAAAAATTATTTTTTCTTACTCATAGGGTGGATATGATATAGTATGAGAGCAAAAAGTCATGACAACTACTTGTTGCCTTTGATGCACATTAGGTACAACATGTAAATAAATGAGTTTTTTCTCTTTTGTTAAAATTTAACCTTTGGGAAAATCGTTTTATTAGTGGTTCATTGAATAACAATGATGATGGGCATTTTAACAACAAAAAAGGATGAACTATATCACAAATTCAATATACACCACATATCACTAGATCTTTGTCATGAGGGATCATATTGTTGACTTGATAGGCAATTCATTGAAAAAGATGGTTAAAAGGGAGCAGGAAATCCAGGGGAAAAATATTACTCTCATTGAAATCGAGGTGTTTCAGTGGTTCATGTTCGAATAAAATAGTTGATTGTAAAGATTGAAACAATTATAGCAACACGCCTACGTTTAATTTCGATTATGGTTAACTTTTTTTCAAGCCCTTTTACTAACTTATTTGACAAACAACTCGTTTATTTTTTTGTATTATTGCGAACACTATCATGTCTATATAAACATGTAGGTTTGATCACATGCGATAGACTACGCACATACCTCTCTCTAGCTTAAATGTTAGTCGCTTGAATATTACTCGATGAGTCATCCTCATCCCCATGTATGTATGTTCTCGAATCCTAATAGTAGTCTTTGGTGTGCTTCGCTGCACCTTGATTGGGTTTGACCATAAATTCACCTATGTATTTGTTCGCTCACACACATTAGCCTCTGCGGGATCGTCGGTGCGCACTTCTTAGGAGTCCTATACTAAGACGAGGCGGCCTTCCAATGTTTCCAGGTTATCAATGGTGATCTAGCTTAAATCGACTCATGAATTCACTTAATAACGTATAACTCTCGAACACTAGCAAAGGAGGATAGCAAGTCCCTATGTGAACATTAATATAGAAACATTAACATAAAATGGCTTACCAAAAACTTTCCAAATGGAGCTGGTTGAAAAACATTGTTGAATGAACATGATGAAAAATTGCATTTCGTTTGAAAATGTTTTTGGATATAATTGACGCATTCATTAGGTTGTCCTATACCGTTAAATGAAAAACTATTCATATTCTAAAGTATAAAGAAAAAAAAGTGTTGATCATGTGTTTTACTAAGATCTATCATAAATAATGAATAAGAAAATCTATTTGGTACAATACCATTGTCAAACTAATTGACAAATCACTTTAAACATAGAAAACAACAACATAATATATTAATGGATAAAGTAACTAACTACAGGAAACAGAACAGTAAACTGTGGATTAATGCAGATAAGTGTATAGTTTAATTTGTAAATCTGAAGAACAAGCAATAACTTTCAAGCATTATTAAAAAAACAAAAAACAAATTGATTAGTTTCCATCACGGATTGATTTTAGTTCGAAAGCTATTTAATACTAAGGAGTACCGTATAGCAATTATGTCCTAGTATGAAATTGCTCAGCAGTGCACATCCAAAATTCTATCGGGAATCGAACATAGAACCTACAGGCCCAATAGTGAACGGAATATCAAGAATTGATTGATGTTAGAAATGTAGACCTATGAATTCCTGCTTGGTATTCTAAAGGCCTGAGGTCTTATTTTCCCTTGTCGGGTCATAGATGGGCATTAATGAAAAGTCTCACCATTGTGCGAAACAGTTTTCTGACACTTCCTACTTTTTAGTAGTTGTATAACTAAAAACCAGTTCATGATATGAACTATGAAATTTCACAATCTTCATAAGTCACTTACAACAAAATATTGATCACTTAGTCTGATGACCTGATCTCTTACTAAATAGGTATTTAACATTTCCAATATTGGATGACATATGAGGTCAATGTTAAAACGCCTGCTGACTACTAGTTACGGAAAATGTTAGATTTTTATGGTGAAAATCTGTTGAAAAATATTTTTATTTCACAGGAACATTTGAATTTTTCCCGTTTACTTAAGTAGATTGACCTTTTTTGAAATATACAGACGGATTAAGTCACTAGAATGACAAGTTTTTGGGAAAAAAAGTGGCTAATCAGTTCTTCTCTTCAGTTTTCAAATATCTTACAGGAGACAGGTTAATTTTAGACAAAGAGGTAATGATAACCTTGAATGACTCTAAAATTCTAGTCATGACTTTCAGGACATTTTTCTTCAGGAGCTGCGAATGAGGCCATAGAAAAAGTATGTAGTTTATCGATAAAATACATAGGTTATTTATTTTTCATTCCACGAAATTCGAACAAGCTGAAATGTAAATTCAAGCTACTGAATTCTGTTTATTGAATTAATGACTCCACTGATGATGATAATGATAAATGAAACTAAAAAATCCAAATAATCAGTGCAATATTTTTGTTAATGAATCGGACAACAATTTACTTTCCATTTCTTGAACAAGTTTTTAGAGAAATTATTTTAATAATTATGTCATCTGTTTTACTGAAGCGAAAAGAACTGGGTTTAAGACTCAATGTGAATATTATTATTGCAATGTAGGTTACATTTATCTGACGAATTTCAAATAAGATAAAACATGAATACTAGATTCCACTGCAAGGCACACATCAAATATAATAAAACTTGTGACATAACGTTATATAGGGGCAACCCACTTAAGATGAAAATATGGCAACTGAGACTGGTCAATTACAATCCTGAATATCAACAACGGGAAATTACATACCTTTATTATTACTTTCAAAGTACTGTAACAAGTTAGTGGCAAACTGAACTCAGTGAGTCAATGGATAACTGACTGACGTTTGAGGGGAAAGGTACTGAGTTTAATTTTCGATTTAAATATGAAGAGTACGATGTAAGTACATCCAGGAAACGGGTCCTAAATACGACGAAACGCTAATCCTACATTCAATCGCCAGACATTTTGTCAACTCAACTAATTTCATCTGTAGTTATGAATGAATTTAGTCCTCTACTTTCTAATCCTCGATTATATTAAGGATGAATAAATTAGACAGACTATGAACTAAAACTGATCGTAAGCATAAAATGTTTTCCAAAAGACAAAATTTACTATATACGTACAGTTAACCTAGCTGAAACTAACTAAATACTAAATCAACTCGTAACTTACAGGAGGTCGGAAAATTTCCTCAGAAAATGTTTTCTTTGCATAAGTTCCAGATAAACAACTTCCAGTGAACCACTCAAGTGCATTGTACAAATCCGATTTATAGCCTTGAAGAAAACATGGATTAGGAATTTCATTTTGTAAAGGAAATTGTGCCTGTGAAGAGAGGAAAAAAGATTCCTAAGTGAATATTTTTAATATATAATGATTCTCAATGGATTAATATGTAATAATAATAATAAGTAATGGCATTTATAAAATCTTGGAGAAACCTATGGTACTTTGAGATTTCGAACCCTTTAGGTCAGCATCACATTAAGAGTCCTATTGCAATCATCAGTGATCTCTGTTATGTTTAAGGTTTTCTGACGACTTAATTAAATATGTAAAACAAAGCTGAATTATTCTATTATGTTGAATAAAACTTGGTTAACGTTGTCTTTCTTCATTGACAATAATCTTTGATAGTAACCTTTACTTATTATTATTAAATTGAACCTGGATAACATTATCGCATACATATAAATATGAATATATCGAATCTGAAATATGATGAACTAATGATGTCTATGAATAAAATTTCGCATTGATAAGAAACATTTTCTCTGTTTCTATTATTATGGACGGATTAAAACGTTTTTCTTTTTCCGGTATAATAAGTGATATTGGTCTGGGTGACTGAGTTTATAATACCGCTAAATTAAATACTTGAACAATCCACTAAACAGAGACTAGATCACGTTATATCAGATAGACGGTTCATGACCAAAAATGGGAACCAGAGTAAATACTAGATAAATATTTTATTTTAATGGAGTTTTGTTCTGTGAGCTGGATGGTTTGATCATGGAGCTTTCATCGTTCTTCTGAACTATATCATCAGCACAAACTTTACACAACTATAAACAGTTAATCTCAGTGAGTCCGGAATATAAATTTATAAGATGGATAGAAATCACATGTTTAATGTTCAAGAAGCTGAGAGACTGTTTGTCCAAACCTAGTGATCAATCATATCTACTTTCACTATCAAAAAACGGCTTTGAAGAGTGTTTACTCAGAAAGTGTGGTTACGGAAGTTGACATATGAATCATTTAGTGTGCATTCACTATACAATGTGAATAAGTATGTATTCACTTCAATTAATTTTTTATGGAATGATGTTTATTATTATTGCTCAACAACTCAAATGAGATATTTATGCCGAGAATTAGAAATGCGTTGAATGATAACTTTGAAATCACTATACAGATTACGTCAGTGACACTGCCAACTAAAATGTAATTTATTGATATTTAATTATTAATTTTATTGAAGTCGACTAAAGAAAATCAAAGTTCTAATAATAATCTGTGATTGATTGAGTTCAATCATGTCAGGAGTGTGATACATATCAACAATGAAAAAAAGTATGAGAGCGGCTTTTACTTTCTGGTTTCTTAAATTGTAGAAAGATAATTCTTTTGCTTGAGATCGTCAAAGAGGAAATTGGGTTAGAAGTGGTCGTAATGACCTAGGAATGTGTATGTGTTGCCCAAGAGACAAGTGTTTCAGATCGGCCATGAAATTTTTTAGTTCTTGACGTATTACGAAAGTGTAGAGCTAGCTAAGCAAGCCTTAAGCTAACTAGGCTACATCCGAGTCGATGATCGGATGATAAAAATTAATTAGAGCTGTGAAATTCTGATGATTTAGAATCCAATTCAGTGATTTAAAAGTAACACATTCGTTATGAGACCTGAATTTTTATGTTCGCTATCCAATAGAATCATGATGATACACACTGATGAAGAGTCCCAAGTACTAGGTGTAAACGTTAACATTGAGATCTAGGTACATTTAGATGACAATTCCATATAGAACGAAACACGAATCCCGAATTTTACTTCTAATCACATTCCATCTATTTAATATAAAATCTGTGACATCATGTCAATATAAAGGCAATGAACACAGGATGCACATATATTTCTTTTTGTTGTTGTCGTAAACTTAAATTGTAAAAAAATGTATCTTGGCAACTATGAAATTTAGAAAAATCATTATAGGAACATCTTAGGAATGAAGAAGACTCAATATATGAAAATAAACACTTTAAGCGATAAATTTTTATCAATTATCATATTATAATAAATAAAATCTCAAAAAACTTGTTAGATAGAACTACAAATATCTGAGATACTAATCAAAATTTATTATTTCCAATTTAAGAAATGAAAACTTACTGCAATGGAAGTCATTAAACGTCTTTCAAACTCTGATTTTCCATAGCATAAAAAACTATGACTATATACTGAAAAATCATTTCCATATAATCGGAGTGGATAAAAGTTTAAATGTTCTTTTGGTATAGTTGAATATTGTCTAGGAACAAATGCAATTTGTGTACTAGCTCCACCAAGATCCAAAGAACCAACTGTATCAGTAGGATTTGTTTGTTTACCCTAATCATATTTGAGCGTAACAATTAAAAAGAAATAAGTTAATTATAAAGAGATTATAGGATATGTGCGCAACCGTCTTTCATTGATCAGTTTATGATTCGAATGAAACTCAGCAGTCTCTATAACCCCATACTCACAATTTTCATATGCTCAGTAGTGATTGGTGTTGAGGGGGAATTACTTGAGTTCTAGTGAAATGCCGTGACCAGTGGAGTTCAACCAAAGACAATGGAAGATAATAACTCAATATCATGGTTTGGTTGAATTTAGATATTAACACCACTAAACACTGGCTCGGTGGTCTTGAGGTTAAGCGTTTCGCGCATGAGACCGAAGGTTCTGGGTTTAAGTCGCGCGTGCGGGCTCGTGGATATGCACTGGGCCAGGGTTAAACGATAGTTCACAGCCTCTATGTTTATAATGTTGGTTTAACATTGATCGTCCATGATTTTAATGAAACTCAACAATCTCGACGTTCCTATACTGACAATCATGTATATCTTATGATGTCTCCTATACAAAAAAACTAGGTACAATGATCGATGATCCCAGTGCAACAAATAATAATAAAACATTATGAAAATAATTATAGAATGTACACCAGTTTACAGAAAAGAACATGTGAGTAAAAAAGTAATGAAACATTTAATAGCTTAGCAACAGGTTTTTTAACCAAACAGGAAAAAACTAAGATTGGTGTAATAAAACCATCAAATACAGCCTCCATACATTAGGCTTTCAACCAAACCTTCTGCATAAGATTCGATGGTATTCTACCTGTTTCAAGGTTTCAAAGTTGAAGTACGATATCTGAAAATCTGGTGTTTAAACTCGTCGGTCTACACAAACATTTAGGCTATTTATTTTCAAATGTGCAAATATTACGACTGACTATCAGGTTTTAGATTTGTTTGAACTGAATAATTATGAATGTTAACACATATATACTCATACTATAATGTAGAAGGTTTACAAATTACCGGAAGAGATGGAAAGTTTCACGTATCTGGGTAGCATCATCGCTGAATGTGGGGAATCTGATGCAGACGTAAAGGTAAGGACTGGCAAGGCAAGGATAGCATTTCTACAGTTGAAGAACAAATGGAACTAAAAACAACTGTCAACCAACATAAAAGTCACAGTCTTCAATACGAATGTCAAGACAGTTCAACTGTACGGAGCTGAAACGTGGAGAACTACTACGGCAATTATCACCAAGAAAGTTCAAGTATTCATATACAATTGTCTACGTAAGATACTGAATGTCCGTTGACCGGAAACCATCAACAGTCTACTGTGGTAAAGAACAAACTAGGTTCCAGCTGAGGAGGAAATTAGGAAAAGGCGCTGGAAGTGGATAGGACACACATTGAGGAAATCATCAAACTGTGTCACAAAGCAAGCACTAACTTGGAATCCTGAAGGGAAACGGAAAAGAGGAAGGCGAAAGAGGAGACATGAAGAGGATGAATAGCAACTGGAAAGAATTGCCGAGGACAGAATTCAATGGAGAGTGTTGGTCAGCAACCTATGCTCCTCAACGAAGGATGGTAAGAGTAAGTAAGTACGAGAATTCTTTATTGTAACAAAAACAAAAGTAATTCAGTAAAGCTGTTATTACTATTACCAATTTTATGTATTTCAGTAAACAAGTATCGATTAGTGTATTCGGTTCACAGTAACACTTTTTTTCATATCGATGTTTATAATCCTACTTAGGGATTGTTTGAATCATTTATGAATAAAAATTACTCTAAAATAAATAATAAAACAACTTATTAGTTTAAGACTTACTTCTTTAATATTACCTAAAATATAATTCACTGATACCCAACCATAAAGTCCTTCTTCTGATCCATACAATAAACGAATACGTTCATTTGGTGTTTCAATTTGAAAACCAGACTGTTTAAAATAATGACGAAGTACTGAGAATAAATCTAAACTTCCTAACGGATCTTCAATTCTATAGAGATGATAAAATAGGAGAATAAAAAAATATTTTTTAAAAGTTCTTTCTATAAGTGATTAACTAATCGTATAAATTTGACTGCCGAGGTTATCTGGAGCCTTTACAATCTTATATACATACTTTGTATTTATCTCTTTCGATTATTTTCCTGTTTATTTAGTAAGAGGGTGATTTTCACTAGGGATTCAATTTCAAATCATTGAAGGCATCTAAAACTGTTCGCCATGAACATATCACTGTGGTGCAGTTCAATATACCGAATGGAAAACATAAATAAAGTGAAATTCAGAGTTTGAATTAAAATCCTAAATGAAAATTACAATTTAATATAGAGGATTTATTTACTAAATGAATAGGAAAATAACTAATATTGCAGGACACAACAATGATTATTGAATAATGAGGATAACCCCGGCCAGTTTGATATGTGAAAATCCTTAATTAATATCTGTTATTTTAGTTAGTGAGAATTGTTAATTTATTTCAATTATCAATGTTCATACTAGTTGGCTGGATTTGCAAAAGTCTAACATGAAATTTTCATTCAACTAAAGTTATGAATATGTAATTTCACTAAGATGCTAGATAGGAAATTTGGGTCAAATGAAGTAAACTTTATACGCATAATATATACGTTACTAGCTAGGCAGTTAAACTCCTGATATTTAAAGTTTCATTCCATGAACTGAATTTCAGTTAATAACTATTGAAAACTAGGAAGAAATTGATTAGCTAGTTCATTCTACTGTGGAACTCCTCAGCAGCGGGTATCCATTAACTTACCAGAGATTCAACCTAGAACCAAACTTTGAAAAACTGACATATCATTTAATGGTTTACATTTCTGACCCTAAGCAATTCGTGATAGCGTACGAATATCATCTATTGTCATCAGTGATATTTATCTCATGCTAGATATGGCTTGATTTTGTACTAGAACTCTCGATGTAAGTCACTAGTAAGTATACGATGATAATTATCACAAGGGTGCAGTAGAGATAGTTAGATTTGAAATTAAACATCACTGATTAACTTTGATTGGTCAAGAATCCAATATTTGTTTAAATGTTATTTGATTTAAAGCTAAAAACAGAATGCTCTGGACGTAAATTTCGTATTACAATAACTAGTAATGAGCGGGAATTAACACTGAAAAGAAGTCCAGGACTATCAATCAACTGCTCCAAATCATCTAACACTAAAAAATGTATTATAATACCAAGTTACATAGTTTAGTATGGCCACATTATAACTTGGTTTAAAAAACAAAATAATATGATATTGGTCAACACTAAGCGCTCAATAAGTGTAAAAATTAGAATGTTTAAGGTCATCCATTTGTTTGGTAATCAGTAATATTTCAAAAGTATTATATTTCACCAATACGTTTCACTAAATGAATAAGTTAAAAAGTACCTTAAACTAGTTGAAGTATTATGAAAAGTATCTAAATATGTAGAAAAGCAAAGAAACAATGATCTTGTGACACAAACAATTGATTCATGTATATAATAAAATAAATGTCATTTATTATCTTTCACAAGAGCGCATGAAGTCATGTCATCATCTTCATCTTCATAGCATATCAATAGTTTAACATACGATAAACTATATACTTCTATGTTGTAGATCATTTTGATTTTTTGTATACTAACAAGTTAGTTAACAATAACTTTGAAAAAAAAACACAACAAATAATAATCAATATCTTTTTTTGTTTGTTATATCCGAATGAGTAGAAAAGTCGTATTTTCGACGTTTCGTGATTTAATGTAACCACTTCTTCAGAATAAATAAATAACCGAATTAAATTAACATAAGTCTAAATAATATAAAGGAAACTTTCTATCCCATGTTCAAGTTCTTTGGAACTATCAAGTCCAACCTTAGTATTAATACCTATAAACACAATAAATAGTTTGTACGTATTTAGTGTACATATGTAAAAAACAATCCAATCTACAATCAGTAAATGAGGTATTCATTTAAAAAATTTAAACTGTTTCCTAATTTAATCCTTATAAAGCATTTCATATATAATGATAATAACCAATTACTGATATGGGATATTTATTACAGATTTCTAGTCACTGCCTGTTCTAATGATCATCACTGGTTTATATAGGAGTAGGTTAGAAGTCAGTCAAGGATATCTAAACATATAAATTGCCATTAGTCAATAAAGTTACTGAATGGTTCGAAAAACAAACAGAATTTCTTGTTGTAGACAGTGTAATAATGTTAAATGATAGTTGGTGACGTTAGGTGACATTTCTTCGAACGAATCAAAGTAACGCAGTTACAATCATTGTATATCGTATTTTAAATCTAGAAGCTTGTGTCATTCCATAACTCTATTACTTCGATTTGATTCGTTGCACTTGAAAATTACTTCCTATTTTTAAATTTCCGTTCTAATGGATTATGAATCCTTTTCACAGCAATTTTCATTTTAACTATGTTCTCTCATTCTGTAATAATATGAACTACGGTGACGTAGATCAATATATGTTTTTGAAAAGTATTACATCGGTGACGGTGTGCTGAACGAGAAAAAACAATTACGGAACGTCTTAGTAAAATCTAAGAACCATATAGTAAATACTTAATTTGCAAACTATCAATCAATTGTCTCAAACTTGACTGTTTCTTTTTCAAATATCGGTCGATCGTCTCAGACTTCACTGCTCCTGCATTTCCATACCAGTGGCTTTCTGTTCCCATCCTTCCCTTCTTGATCTTCTCAATCTTCTGCCGCTATATACTACTTATGTCGATATAAGTAGCACACAAATTTCTCATACTAACGTAACTGTTTAGTTAAACAAATTAATGACTTTAAAGAGGAAGGATATATTTGTATAATCCCGGTGACTGAATTTGAATTAAATTCAACGTTTCACTCGGCAATCTGGTACAAGCTTTTTCAAGGAAATATGATCAAATATAAAAGTTATCGAATATAAACAGTTAACTGTATACTAGATAGGTCAATCAATCATGTTAACGATGTTTAAAGTAAATATTTGCTTTAGTGTATTTGAGACATGTGGTGTGTAATGAAAAGTGTTAAGATAACAGATTGTGTGTATTGGAGGTATGAGGAGCAAATACTTACTTCAAACATTGTTAACATGATTGATTGACCTATTTAGTATACAGTTAATTGTTTATATTCGATAATTTTGATATTTGATCATACTTCCATGAAAAAGCTTGTACCAGATTACCAAGTGAAATATTGGATTTACTTCAAATTCGATCTCTAAGATTATATAAACATATTCTTCCTCCCTAATGCCTTATATTAACTCCGTGTCCAAATCCTGTAAAACTATCCGTTCAAATTTAAACCAAAGTTCCTATATTTTAGTGACTGCTTACAAACAGAATTTGAAATTTTATAGGCCATGATGTTGTTTTACTATGCTTCAGGCTTTAATCAAATGTTTGAAAGTTCGAAACCAATGACTACCTGTCTCCGTAAGAGGATTTACAAGTAGGTTTACCAACTTTCACATAAATATCGTGGTTTATAATCAAGTGAATAATTTACGTTGAAATTAAAATAAAAACCACATTCTGTTCTTTAACTGACAAACTCAGTCAAATTTTGATGACCATAAGGGATAGCATTATGGTAATAGCATAATAACCTGACGACCTTGAGCGACTTATCAACCAATCAGGAAATGATGTATACTCACGAAACAATTAACACTACAAAGCCACAAAATACGAGTGGAATAACAGCTTCGATCTGGATAATTAACCCTCATATGCCAAATTCTTCTTTGTAGTAAAGGACAAAGGTCAAGTTTACAGATTAAGAGACAGGTTAATATTCTAATTTAGAGTTATCACCCTAAAGGGTCATTATCACCATATGAAATCGGCTATAATTTAAAAAGGTTAGATCAAGGTGATAAGAGTAAGGCTGGAGTTTTGAATTGGGGTAACGAATTAGGTTTGGGATTTCCATCACTAACTGATATAAGTTATAATGCAACGCTTTGTTACCCTTCCGTTAGTAGACTTAGGGTTGAGATTTAAAAAAAAGAGTTAGAGAGGAAGAATATTATCTAGCTTCATTACACAGCCTTGACTACACACTGAATCACATTAAGCATGCAATCTGTCTTAGGAGCTGTTATGTTTTGTCGTTTAGCGTAAACACCGTTTGAATTTCATATTTTGTTTGGAGATTAGATATATTTTTAAGAATTAATTCCGAGTATTTTAAGTATCAATTATTGTAAATTCTCATCTAGTTAATAATAATATACAAATTATTAATCCCTACACATTTAATTGTGCGCAAAATAAATGAGGAGTTATCTTAATTCTGATTCGCTAACCCAAGGTCATTTTTACTAAGTATTACTGAATAAATCTTTAGTGTCTTGATTAGTTCCTTGAGAAACTACATCAAAATGATAAACTATTCAAACCAGAATGAAAACGGAAGGAGGCGAAATAATAAAATTGGTACAATCTAGTAAAAAAAACTTCCCCTCTATATCAGATAATTTCAAATATGTAACATAGTTTGATTTCTTTTCAATGTTCAAACGACTACCGTGTTCTAATGGATTGAATGTTTTTTTTTTGTAAAAAAATTTGATTTGTTTATCCTATGATTAGGTAATCATGGTACATTACCTCTTTCTTTGTAAAAAGTACAAGTAAACTAATAAAAAAAAGAGGAAACTATCAATTCATTCTCTAATGCTTTTAACTGGACAATACTTTGATGAAACTACACATTCAATGATTAGTGTACTAGTTAACTGAACTCATCTCTATACACTGATAATACTTAATTACATACAGATGATTTATTTAATTGTTATTTAGAAATAAATCTATTTTTATTCACTATTATCCAATAGAGAATTATTTAGAAATCAATTGATGAAAAATATTGGATAGAGTTAATTCATTCTAGTTTCAGACAATTCATTAATTACTGTTAATATATACAGGAGATTCAA